AATGGCCGGTTGGGCAGAAGGCATTAGCAACAAAAAACTCTCGCTATCAACAAACCAACCAGGAGCCGACTGTTCAATAAATATGTGGGAGGAAATGGAGATGGGTCATGCATAAGTTGAGAAGGCTGTCCAGTAACATCGTGCTCCAGGTCCTTGAGTGGGATCAGGATGGGTAACGACTAGCGGGTCGTCCAAGGGTGACATTTGGAAGATTGTGTGAAGAGAAGGTGAGAGACTATGGGTAATCGTAGACCCAGCTGAAGAGGACGGCTGAAAATAGAAGAAAGTGGAGATGTGTTGTTGAAGCCCTATGTTCCACTTGGAACCCTGAAGAACAATAATAGGAATGGTAATAAAAGAGAAATATTCCAAAAACAATGAATTCCTGTGTTGTATTTCTCATTTCATCTCTAAAATTCCTAGTGGAACATAAGGCCTCAAACTTTAAACTTTACAGTTTCAGAAGAGCTAGTGTTGTTTTTATGGAATCGGGTTGCTAGCCACACGTCCCACCCTTTCTCTTGTCTGGGCTTACTATCGATAAGGTAAGATTTAGCATGGCTGGGCGTCGAACCTTTAACACACTCTGTACTACCTACACACTATAAGGCACTATACACTAGGCCACTAGGGCTACAATGGTGCATGTCACGATCGAACTTAGAATTCATGACCTATTGAATTCAAACGAAGTGACTGAATATTGCTAGTTGAAGTGAGCTGTGGATGTGTGCGGCTAAACAGCTGTAAACTAGGACGAAGGAAACTGTTCAGCACTCCACGGTCTTCAGCTTTTCTCTGATTAGTATCAGTTTGTAGGGAGGTCTAATTTTAGAGTTGTTATACCTACCTAAGACTAACAGCAGCAAAAGTAACTAGTGCCACACGACAACAAATAAGCGTTTAATGGAAAAGACACGGTATCTAAAGAATATCCTGGCTACAATATCTCTCAGTTATAAGCTTTTCATGGTATAACTAGAAGATATACAGAAAGACTAAGTACTACTGTAACCAACGACATGGATGAAGATGTCGAAGCCAGCCAGGCGTTCATAGCTCTAAAATCTGTTGTAAAGGTTTGTCAACATTTAGCATTACGAAAAAGACTGGTAGGCGTAAAGTCGACCTCAATCTGTTGAGTCCAAATCGTTACAAAATATCATTCCAATGGGTTGCTGCAGAATTTGGCACAGTGCTGAAGATTAGATGACTTACCAAATAAAGTCATCAAGTAAGAACAAAGTCTGGCTGTCACCGGACCAGTAAACAACCTATTTTCAAAGAAATATTAGGAGGGAAGTGAAGAACGATAGACTAAACATATGATGAAAAGATGGTTAAGTTATATGACACATCAGTTTGGCCCTCAAGCGAATTAGGGGGTATCCAATGGTAGCATGGTGGAGATCATGTGAAAAGGAAATAGAAGATTGTTAGTAGTCGTGAAGCCAGCTGAAAGTTATGGTAAAAAATAGAATGAAATAGTGATGTGCTTCTGAACACCACTGTTTTACAGAGGACCCAAGGAATGAACAGTAGGAGTGATAAATACACAGAACAGATGTCCTAAAAGAATTAATCATGAATACTGACAAAATCGGATTAAAAGTAGTAAATATTCAATCATTGGAAATAAAAACTGCATTCAAACAAAACACGATATCTGCAATAATTTATGTTGGGTTTAAGTATGCGTTGAATACAGTGATTCTCTGCAATCTAACTCACTTTGACATGAAACACAGTATGTAAGACAGGGCATGTTAAAGTTCATGGACAAACTACTTATTTCCTATGTTATTTCTTTACGTTCCTAGTGAAACATAAGGCTTCAAGCTAGAGATGTCAAGTTTCGGTAGCAGTGGTGCTTGTTTTTACGGGATCGAGTTGCCGGCCTCATGCTCAGCTTTCCCTCTTCACCTGTCTTATTAATGACCTATCGTGTCCACGTCATATTCACTCATTTACATCTCTAGCCCTCGCTTTAGACTTCATAAATTTATGGTTCTTTAACTGTGGCTTTAATATTCGAAGTTAATATATATTGTTTCACTTTACTCTTAAAACCACTGTCCAACAGATATAAACGTTGCAGAAATGGAAGAGATTCGTAGCACAGGCTGACCATTTTTAGTGTTTTTGTATTGTTTGAGCTGAATAGTTTAACTGCGAAACTTTCATCATCATCATCATCATCCAGAACAACATATTTAACACTAATGTCTATACTGAGGAGTTATCCATTTCCTTCTGGACATAACAATCAACACTAACTTTAATATGAAGTGATATTCGGGTACTCTGTAAAGATATAAAATAAGTGTCTTCCATGGTGATCCTGACTGTGATTAGCTGATCCCCGGGGATTTTCTTATGACACGATTCACTCGTATTAATACTGATTCAATTTCTGACCTGATATTTGGCCTTGTGATCATGTGGATAAGTGTTTATTGATTTTCTGTTAGCTGCAAATTGACTGGAGCACTAGGACTGCAGGAATTCTCTGGAAATTTTTGCGTTTTCTCTGTCTAAAATTTATAAATTATCCTAGCTGAATTAATGTTAGCAGCTGTATAATTGAATCTGTACAAACAAAGGTATGCCATTTATTTTGCCCGCTAACTTGTATTAATGGCATCTTTTCTATAGGTAAAGTAAGGAATTTCTGATAATAACCAATCACAGCGATGGTCATGAGAAAACACAGATACTGTATCCATGAAGAATTGCAAAATCTTAATTTTCAACAGTGATGTCAAATCAGTCACTGCTTCTCTATAGTTCAAAGACTCGGCACACGCATCGTGAAAACAATTTCCAACAGGCTGCTGTTGACTTCCATCAACAGCCACCTTCATTGTACCGGTATTGAAGACCAAACAGACGGCCGAAAAGCATCAGTGACCAAGAGGTCCTACGACAAACCAACCACTAACCTCCAGCATAACAGATATGCAGATGGAAATAGAGATGGACTGAACACACAGAGGGGGTCACTGAGTGACACAACGCAGTACGCCCTAGAGTGGCACCCCAGTGGCAAACGATGAGTGAGACGTCCGAGGGGGACATGGAGGAAATGGTGTGAGGAGGAAGTAAAAGTTTATGGGCAGGCGTGGAACCCCTGAAAAAGACTGTAGGGAACAGAGTTGAATCGCGATATGTTGCCAATGCTTTATGTTCCACTGGAAAGCCAAGTGAACAATAATAAGTAAACCGTCTGGCTTAGAGAAAAATGCAATAGCGAAATCTCTCAAAGTCACAATAATTCGAAACTGTCTACAGATAATACGCATTCAGTGTATACACCTTCCAAAATTCTGTAATTTTTTAAAATATTAAATATTCTTATAGTAAAATTTGGAAAAAGATATTTAAACCAACAGCACTGTTTTCAGTTAGATCTCATTAAGCTTAACTGTTATACACATAACTTTACAAATAAATACTAGATTACAGACCAATCACTGCGATTTGCCAACGTAAGGATAAGATTGTGCATATTCATTTTACAGTTAGTCACAATAATAATAATATCAATTTTAATAATAATGCTAATAACAATTATGGTTCTATCAAAAACAAAGTTGAGAAGCTGCAGCGACCTATGATGACAAGAATAGTGAAAACGGCGTAATCAAACAAACAAACAAACTTCCAGGTAGATAATAATCGATAACAAATAGTCCCATTAAGTATTGCTAGATTGTTAGGAAAGTAATTAAACTAAGGCGTAATAAGATTAAGGGATGATAAGAGAAGGGTTGGAAATTTTATTTATACGGGGTGATGATGATATTGTCAGTTGGTAGGCTCTTAACTGGCAAGAGGATGCTGGCACGTAGAATGTACGAACTTCTTCTGAACGCTTAGTTTAGGCTTATTAGTTTGAATACCTATCACCTCAGCTATGTGTAGCAGACGAATTCCATTGAAAGAATCCAATGGAATGCGGTGAATCACCTTGAATGCTTTTGTTTCCGACACGAAATGACCACTATCAACTAAATTTGACAAAACGGAACAGCAGATGCTTTTTGTCCGTCCTTTACCAAAACCACGATGGCAGATGTTCAAGTAACACGTTGCTCTACTTCCTTACTAGTTCACCTAACATAACTGCCTTCATAAGAGCAGTTGTTGTATTGATAAATACACATAGATGTGGCGAAAATATTTAGCTCATTATTCCTCATTGAAGACCCAGCCATTCATCTACTGGAAAATAACAAACAGGTTTGCTGCGTAAAAAGGTTCTCCTCTGTATCCTTCTGGCCAATTTCTGAACAAAACCTTACTTGACAAGTCCTTGTTAAATTGTATCTTAATAAATGGAGGTTTAGTCCATAAACTGTTGTAGTAGTACTGCCTTTGTAAAGAATAAAGAATGTGCCTTCTGAATTCTGTCACTACCATTCACCAAAAAGTATCTTTAATTTCTTAATCTTGACAGTACAGAGATATCTGTTCAAAGAGGACCATATACCAAAATGAAGTTGGTCTTTTTGGTCAGATATACTAATGGGAAATCATAAACCTGAGTAGATAAGTTCAGACTAAAACCAACGAATAAAATTTGACTCTCGTGGACCACTAATCTTGTGGATAACGCTTTGATAGATGAAGCGATGTTTACTAGTCTAAAGTCTTCAATATGGATCACGCACAATCAACTGACGAGTCCTGAAGAGGACGAAACTCGCCTTCCAGATTCTATTGTGAGCCATCGCTAAACAAGTAACTTGATAATATATAGATATACGTTCAAAGGGGTCATATACCAAAATGGAGCTGATGATTTCCATTTAGACCTATATCCTTTGAAAATGACAACTTACATTATCCTAAACAAACCAACTGATGAAAGTTTCAAGCAAGTTTAAACATATTTCCTTAAACAAACACTTTTACAAGCCATAACATACACTCACATTATTCTTTAATTTTTAACATACTACAAAAACTAATTAGTCAATTTCAGTTATTTAACTTACTTTTTCAAACAATTCTGATGATGTAAGCCTTTTTGACGGATGTCGGGCCCTTTCATCAACCTTTTGATAACTGTAAGGAATGGAGAATGGAAAAGGGAAATTGAAAAAAGAAAGATAGTCTCACGCCAGTGTTTGTAGATAGTGTTTAAATTTCACAAGAACTGTCGCGACAATCTACATGTTCAACATATTTAAACAATAATAACAGTGTGTAAACATACAAATAAATTATAAATTAATGGGAACACTGATAACAATACGTTGATGCTAAAGCCAGTGAGTCATATTAGAACAGAACTTTGGCACTGTGGTAGAGTATAAATTCAGTAATATTTGCTGTATAACACTGTGAGACTTTACCAAAATAAAACTTTCTCAATACTAGAAACTAGTGAGTGATATTGTACCTAATACTTGTTTCTTCACATAAAATGTGTGCCAAATAAAGTCTTTTTAGATATTATATTCAGTCGTGTGAGAGGAAACTCTTTTCAAATTGCTTTTTTCCAACCTTATTAACCTTATAAGACAAGTTGTCAATCAATAGCATGCTCAAAGTCCGACGAAATCGTCTTTGTCAATTTCTTATACGCATGAAAGTGTCTATCGACAATTAGGTTAACAAGTTGCCTTAGAGGTACACTACAAGAATAAGGGGAAAGAATAGTCAGAATGCAACAGTGAACAGATTCTATGTATGGAAGCTGAATTTGATGAAATTGTTCCAAAGCCTTTGGTTATTTGACTGCAAGGCAATATGGTGTTTAGGTTCGTTCTTGGCATTACTGATCTGCCCCAAGTCCAGCAATAGATACGGCATACCGTTTTGACTCAAAAAGGGTGAAAGGCATATGGGGGTAGAAACCAAGCACCACAAATTTGTTCAGAGCTAACCTTGCAGTCGGGTTGTTTGAGGATGCAGCCCAAGTGGGTTGTAAACTCCGTCTAAGGCTAAATGCTTGCACGAGTCCGATAGTGAACAAGTACTGTTACAGAAATAATTTTCTAGAAACCGCGAGGATATGTGAAGACCAGAAAATATTAGAGGAAAGACTTAGATCAAGATATGTAGTATTTAACTCTACTTTTACTTCAGTGCCCTGTGTGTTGCAACAGTCATGGTAACGAATCAGTCTATGGCTACAAGTGAAAATAACAATCTGACATCAGGAAGCGTTTGGCTTAAAACCATTTGATAAGGATCGCTGGCTAATTTCTGATAAAAGGTTATTTATTTTGGAACTATGTGAATAGGAATTGATGAGCACAGAAATTGTCAGACCATCGGTGTAATTAACAAAGTTTGTTTAATTAGAATGCGGCAAGTTATGTAGAAAGAAAGAATGGCGCCTGGAGGGACATTAACTTCAATAAGCAAAGAAGTGGAAGACTTTCCTCTACATAAAGGGTACTACTTTCGTTTTGACAAGTAAGAATGCAGTAATAATTCTCGGAAATTATTACATTATTCATGTGAACCTATTAACAAACATGGATTTCACGTGGAAAATAAACGCTGAATAACCAAAGAGGTTTAATCCTACATCATATACCTAGTTTGTCATCATATTTGACTATGGTTTGCTCATCATTGGTGAGTCTTCATTGTTTCACATTTTAGTCACCCACTCATAGCTTTCTCCTCTTATCATACTTTACACATTGTCTTGCTTGACAACAATACCACTGCCTCAGAATTTAAGCTCTATCATACTCGCATCTATAAAAACAGACGTCAAATTCAAGCAAGTTATACCCCCGTATGATATATAGTCACATGATGTGTGTTTTGTTTTTGACAGTCTGATATATTTTGCTATGTGCATATTGATCGATATTTCATTACAATCCACAATATGCTTTGTCTGTCCATTAACTAAATAAACAATGTATGACCTTTTATCACATGACATTACAACCAATCAGAATCCAATGACGGTAAGGTGTCTATCTATTGGTTCGTGTATATAAGTCATTTTCATATATACTTCTGTATTGTACACTTTTACACACTTGTTACACATTTCGTACACTACGTGCCCTTCACTCTCACACTTGTGTGACAGTCATTATTTTCCTTGTTTGGAAAATACAAGTATCATCGTGAACTTGGTGGTCTTCTGATTTTCCTCTTTCCGAGCCAGGACTATTAACCACTCAGCAGTACATAACACCGTGTATTAACATTTCCACATTTATTCATTTGTACCTGCTAGATGTTGAAATTCAGGAAGAATATCTCTGGGTCATTTCTTTTATTGGTTTCTTTTCCCAGAGGAAAACAAAGCTTCAAGGTTTTTGAAATTTAAATTGCATTGGTGTTGTTTTAACGGGACAGGTTTCCTGGCCTCAGTTACATCTCTACTCTTTTCCATGCTTACTATCACCTTGTTAACTAAGTGGTTTAAGAATGCATTTGCCAGGAATAGAATTCAAACTGAGAGCGTTGTTGGTAAGCACTCTACTATTTAGTCACCAGTGTATTCATCTAAGCACGAATACTGATTAAATCAGGTTGCGGACTTCGCAAATGGTATGAATTCCACTTGGACTGCTTACCAGAATTACTCCTGGTTAGTTATTATTACCCAGCGATAGATCTAGCGCAACCTAGCGTTACTTAACTTAATTCAGTGACTGAATTATAAATATTGACTGATAGGCTTTAGTAAGAATTTAAAACTCTACACCAACATTGGTTACTATTCAGTAATCTATTACTTATAGATGTGGGTTTCCCACACCTTTACTCAAATGGTAGAAGAGAATTTTTCATTGCATCAAAGGAAGTATCGCTTAAGATAGATTCATAATACCAATGGTTCAAATGACAAATTAGTCACATCTTCTGTCTGAAAATGCCGATACTTTGGTAAAATCAACCCAATGAACTAATTTTTGTCTAATTCTATCATAGATGTCCTAGTGGATATGCCTATGATTGGCTCTAACTACTAAAGGGACGATTTATAGCCAAAGGACAGTCTCATTATTTTGCTCTATGTAGACGAAAATGTTCTTCTGTATGAAGATGGTGACAAAATGCAGAGTCTTATGAACACTGTGGACAGAAACCTTAGTATGTTTAACATGCAATTTGCCCCTGTCACTTTTAAGATGATGGTGAAGGATTGCTATACACAGACTCTTTTTTTAAAGGCACAGAGTGGATTGGTTAACCTTGTTCTCCACTTCAGCCCTAATAAACTAACTGGTGATGAGATCTGAGCCTTGTGTTGCAACTTCTGAGTTCTGTTTTCAGAGTTCACCAATTTTGCCTGGAAACTCGTCAGTGATCTACGCTTATGCGTTATTGTAACTAGTAATATCGCTTACCAATTTTAATTATAAGTTATTTATATCCTCACACGTACACTATATTACCTACTTTCCAATTAATTTCAGATTATTCAAAGAAACTCCATCAGGTCGACAAGTTATTTCACTTCTACTTCCTCGGCACCAACTGAGGCAGTTCGTATGGATACATTAGTCACGCCTCTCCTCAACTACAAGTATAATAGACTTATAAGCACCCTAATTAAAATATTGGGAGGGCTAGACAAGAAGGTCGTCAAGGTTTACCTGGTGTCCTCAGAATCACTCTACTCAGCTTCCTATTATTTATTATCTGTGTATAGAAAATACCTAGGCTCATCAACTGGTCAATAATTGCTTATAACGATGATTACAATATCTGGGGACCGATTGGAAGGAATATTTAAATACTTACACTGCAAACAGATCTCAATACTGCGCTAAATTGATCTGAATAATAGATATTCTGCACCGGTGTATCTAAGTGCTCATCCGTGCACATCAAATATGCAGATGTCAAGGCATAACGTCGGCTCCTCCACATCAGATACAAAACCTACCTAGGTGTTAACAGTAACTAGCAAACTTAAAATTACAGCTCACCTTTGCTCAGTTGCAACTCAAGGTCATTATGAAGGATCTCAGTTAGGAACACCAATGAAATATTAACCGCCACGGAGAATATATTTCGTTTACCACTTATCTATACCTTACACAAGGTCTAGTCAAAGGAGAAGATTGGGAATAGGAAAGCCTAAATACTTAAATAAAGGCAGTCAGTACATAAAAGAAGCCTTTTGTTTTAAATCTACACAATGAACTTCAAATACTTAAGCGAAAGCATCTTTAATATATCACATTCTAGCTATTTACGAATACTCCACGAAAAAGTCAACAAAAAGTTATGTTGTTAGCTAACTGGCATCAAGCGAATAACAGCACTTGCTCAGCACTAAAAAAGAGTGGAAAATAAATTTTCACAGTTTTCGCGTAACTAGAATTTATATAGAAGTGATTGAAGGTATTTGTGTATCAAGTGACGTTTTCAATCTCTTAAAAGCGGCTTAACTATTCTAGAGCAAGGCCCGTGAGTCACAGTCGACCTCCAGAGCTATATCGACCATCCAACGAAGTGATCAAACACTGCGATACTACTAATAGTTGTAGGTCATTTGATAAATATTTTCGTACAGAAAAAGATGAAGTAAATATGTACTGCAAAAATGAAACCAGTCATCCGTTGTGCAGTTCTTACCACTGTTGGGCAAGGGCTTTTGAAGCGCTGTTTAAACACGTTGTGACTGATGAATCATTCTGCAGATAACGTATTGGTAATATTTAATACTGTGATAATGTCTAAACATTATATTAATTATCATATGAGTTTCTGAGTGTAGCACTGCCAATCCAAGGGAAATCAATGCAAACTGATACTATGAATAAAATGCTAAGGAATAAATGATTTACCGGTTGAAAGATATACTCCGAATTAAAAAATTTCGGGAAATTTCAAAAATTTGAGTGAAAATTTGATCGAAGTTTGGGTCTCATACAGGTAATTTAAGGATTTACTGGTTTTAGAGGAAAACTGTTGCATTTTTCCCGAATATCTACTAAGTCTCTGCACTGTTCTTCCCCCACAGTTTGCATTCAAGACCTATGTTACATATTACAATTAAACATATCCCCTGTGGGAGATATCCACTTATGACCATCTTAATAATCCAACATGGCCATGCTGTTAAGCTGAAATAGGCATGCGCAATTTCTGATAGTAAAAAAGGTTCCTACTGTTTAAAAGCATTAGGTGATAACTCACTCTAATAGTTTCAGAACTTCGCCTCTAGGTACTGCAATGTACCTATGATTTTCCTGAAGTTCTCTAATATCTCGTATTTGAGTTCCAGAATTTGGAGAAACAATGCATCGAATCGCTGGCACATACTGTCCCAAGCGCTTACGCAGCTGCTCCATAAACGAACTCCATGTTAAAGATAGTCGATGATTTATAAAAATTCGTCTTCCAGGGTTAAACGAATCACCATTCCTATGTATAACAAATGATACTCCATTTCTTCTATCATCGTAACCACTTTTTAATCTGCATAGACATGAAGTATTTCGATGCGCGGAAACAGACATCGCTTGTGAGAATTCCGTGAGTAGCTTTCAAAAGCCGCCAAGGTCAAGGACGCCCATACAATATTCGAAGCACTCATTCCATTCTACCCGTTTATTTATTTCCGGAATTTGACTTCATAATTTTAGAAAAAGATATTGGCTCCGAATAGGATTCCGATAGAGTTGGCTGATCTGCACTTTTATCGAAATTTGACTAATGAACGTCGGATTTTTTGTTGGAAATTACTCGTCTTGGTATAACATAGATTATGGGATCTATAATTATCACACTACCACATATATCTGAATACTCACATGAAAGAGGCTAAGAAAGTATCCTGAATAAAGTTAAAAACAGTGAAAAGTTGATGTGCTGTGAATAAACAGATACCTGGATAATATATTTCCTTGGAGGACGATCACAGCCCACGCAAATTGCTTTGGGCCTTCTTCAAAAGCGGATGTGATATTTACGCAAGCATAAGGTATGCTCTTACAGGTAAAAAACACTCCAGTCTTAGCGCCATCTCATAAACAGTCGTTTGAGGGTGTTCCAAAGACTACAACATATTAAGGAAAATATTACTGCTTTGGGAAGACATGGACCACTCTCTGTCTTGTAAGATAAGTAAATACGGCTACTGCGCTGCACTACTTACAAGAGTCTATACGTTTAGTGCTACGTTTGCTGAAGCTCCGAGTTATAATGAAATACCTGAACCCTACTTCGATTTGCAGTTTACTTTATTTTCATACATGAGATCTGACATGCGTCATCTTCCTGTGGCCTGAAGAGATATACTTGTTTGATTATTTCCTAATACAACCGTAGATATTATTCAATGCGTGGCCCAGCACATCGCGAAGCACATCATATTCAGGAAATCGACCGTGGTTGCAGTGCTCTGGTGGCTGGAACTGACTCGGCTTTATGAGCGCATACACTGCTAGTGATCCTGGCTTCAGATGAACAGAAGGACAATCTGGTGTTCAGACCACCTCGGTCCTACCGGTAAATGATAATCAATCAGTAGCACCTGTGGTGAGAGCAGGCTGCTAGCCGATTGGTTGGCACTAATCTACGTTAAGGTCTAGGTCACTAATATGGGCCGTGAGAAAATATGAACAAGCCTGAGTCAACAACCAATCACAGCAAAGTTAACGTGGCAAAATATGATTCGCAGAGAGAACTCTATTTGTCAAGGAATCCCGAAACAACCAATCAGAAGCCTGCGTTTGTCTACCTAACTTCTGATAAACAACCAATCAGATGACTGCGCTTGTCTATAATAATGTAGTTGAAAGATGTATAAATACGTGTTGATTTTCATAATAAAACGATCTGTTGCCTGGCCCTTGTCTTCTGTTGTTACATTTGGTGTCGCTGCCTACCGACAAATGAAAAGCCTATACCCTGCAGTTTTTGATGGAGACATATGGATCTTCGGGCAGGACTTCAAGGCTTCTGCGCAGTTGAGTGGCGTTCAAGATCTGTCAGCGATGGAGCTGCTACTTGGGGCGCTGCTGGGAGGTCGGGTGAAAGCAGCATATGAAAGTGTGAGCCGAAGTATGGACGAATGTTCGACAGGGTCAGGCAAACAGTTTCCAAAGTGAGAAGGACCATATATGGTCACTTCGAGATGGGGTTACGCAGACACAGTCGCAATGGCGAACAATAAGAGGCGCGTGAACGTCAGCGAGCTCCAGAAACGGATACAGCGAGACAAGCCAACGATGACGCCTGCACCAAGTAGATCAAGCCGACTTCAGTCGCACGTATTTGACGGGGGGACGAGTGTGGTGAGAGCAGGCTGCTAGCCGATTGGTTGGCACTAATCTACGTTAAGGTCTAGGTCACTAATATGGGCCGTGAGAAAATATGAACAAGCCTGAGTCAACAACCAATCACAGCAAAGTTAATGTGGCAAAATATGATTCGCAGAGAGAACTCTATTTGTCAAGGAATCCCGAAACAACCAATCAGAAGCCTGCGTTTGTCTACCTAACTTCTGATAAACAACCAATCAGATGACTGCGCTTGTCTATAATAATGTAGTTGAAAGATGTATAAATACGTGTTGATTTTCATAATAAAACGATCTGTTGCCTGGCCCTTGTCTTCTGTTGTTACAATGCAACTATGCGTTTACACTTGCCTTAGTGACTGCCATTTATTGTATCAAGTAGGTCGTTTTATGATCACAGGAACTTCAGTTTTCAAAGTGAACTATGACAAACTTCACATTCCAAAATCCAATATCGTTTTTACGAGCTAATATAAACCAATTCTTTATCCTCGCTTCTTCATTATGAGGTATGGGCTCCTGAACTTCGGTAAACTTCTGCATAGCTCGTCCCGCCACCCGACTGTCGTAGCTTTGGCTGGCCCCGAAAGGAGTAGTGCTGGGATTAATTATATGTGGTTTGTAGTATGAGATGTGTTAAGACTGTTACTACCCTTTCACCAGTTAGTCCTCTGGTATCGTGGTCAAAAGAAAAGAGATAATAATAACAGATATAATTAGTGAAGTTACTCAGACTTACAGACAAAAAAGGAAATGAAGGAAACGTAGAAAGAGACGGCTGATTAAATCTGAAGTTGATATATATACATATATACATCAGCAATAAGAGTAAGTGTAGTTAGAGTTGTCAGGAGACTGAGACGGGATAGGATTAAAGAAGTAAAACGACGGTCTTAGTTGTACATCCGCAAACGATGTATGGAATTTTGGGGGAGGGGCATGATTGCTACATGATTGTCCAGCCTCCGCTTAAAGGCGTCCACAGACGGTGCCATAGCTACGCCTGTCAGTAAGGAATTCCAGCAAACCCGCAGTGAAAGGAAGTTGGAGCGCACTCGGGTCCTCGCCCTCTGGTGAGCTATTCTTCTGGGATTTCCACGAGGAAGCATTTACCAACTTAATGTCAGAACACCTTTGTCTGGGTGATTCTGGTCATTTGTTATCTTGTAGGCAGTATTAAATCCCTCTAGGCCGACGGTAGCTAAGTGTGAATGGCCCTAATTCATTCAGCCTTTCACCATATTGTTCATTTCGGAAACCAACCACTCCTTTTGTCGCCCGTCTTTTGCCTCTTTCCAAGAGGTTGGCGTCTCTTCTAAGCATTGGGAGTGCAATAATATTGTGCATTTCAGGGTGTCGTCTGACGTATGTTTTGTACAACCTTAGAAAAAGCTCAAGAGTGAATGCACTTAACTGTCTATGTGCAAAGTGTATGGCCGTATATGTCCTCGCTACGTCCCTCGTGTAATTTACGATTGTGTCCACTTTTTCCGTTAGAAATAGACCTAAGTCGCGCTTTGACATTGTGCAGGACAAGCCTTCGGGGTGTAACTTGCATTCTGAAGTCTACAGATGCGTAACTCCACTGCTCTGCACTTTTTCAGGTCGGAAGTCATCCCACTGGCCACCGACCAGTCTTCCAGAAGCTTGAAATCTGCCTGCAGCCTATCTGAGTCATCCGGGCACTTTATCGCCCTCCATATCTTTACGTCATCAGCGCGTAGAAGAGTCGGGCAGCTTAGACGGCATAGTAGATCATTAATAAAAATCAAAGACATCAGTGGTCCTAGGATAGAACCCAGCGACACTCATGATGACGTGCTGTGCCAAGATGATCGGACCCGATTTACCTTAGCGCGAAATTGCCTCTCAGCTAGGTAGTCCTTTAACCATGACAGAAGTGTCTTACCTGTGCCTGCCTGGCTTATTTTGTGTAATAGAAGGTCATGGTGAACTGTGTCAAATGCCGTCTCAAAGTCTAGGGGAATATGTGGGCTGCAATATTCATATTCCAGCATGATGTCCAATCGTCCTAAGCTGATAGTAGGTTTGTTACAGGATCTTCATTTCCTGAAACCGTGTTGGGCTTCATGGAGGTATTCCTTGATGTAATCGTCAGTAATGCTTTCCAGTACTTTTGATACCACGGGGGTAGAGCTACTTGTCTATAACTAGCGCCATTGTGCCTATCCCCACCCTTGAAAATTGGAGAGAGGGTGGCTCCTTTCTACTCCCTTGCCAGTTTCCCGAATCCACTGAGTGTTGGAGCAAGCCCCATAAGGGCCTACACGGAGCTTCGGCGTACTGTTTCAGAACAAATGTTCAAGCCGTCAACTGAGAATTTGACCTTATTGCCGAAACCCAATTAAATGAAACTGAGAGAGCTAGTTGTTCCCTAATATCACTGATTCATGCAGACAATCTGTGATGTGAAAGCAATATTTGTACATGGGCATTCATAGTATTCGGAGAAGCCATTAATCTTGTAGCGGTAGATAATTTCCCAAACTAATTGACCATAAGAGTAGATTATGTCTAAGAGAAGATTTACATAGTGACCTAAGAAATCATCAGTTGAACATTGGATGCTGACTCTTAGAGTTTGAGTCGACTTGTTTAGCTGAAGGCTTCCGGTCAACACATCCATGCCATTTGGTACGCCGTTGTGTCACGTTCGTGCACGATGACTAGTCAGCTAAGCATTCATCTTGGTCTACGATTTTGGTTCCCAAATATATCTCGTAGTTTGGACGATCAAATAGTGTCTTTTGCTTTGCCTTTGGTCCACGAAGAACGAATACTATAGAAGTTGTTGGCATAAGATTTTGCGTTAATATACTCCTCACAATTCGCAAACGTCTATACCGTCAGCCTCAAAGATCTAATATAACCAGTTTTGATCTCGCTAATTCCCGGTAGAAAAGTCTTTGTTGTTAGAAACGTGTCATCTTTAAACCTACAAACTAAGACTTATATTAGTGTGAATTCATTGCGACGCAGTAATTGCAACATAGAGATATTCTTCCCCAAACAAATTAATCTAGATATGCTACAGCCTATGTTTTCAACCCTATTCCCTACTATTATATCAGTTGAAGTCACTGTATGAAAGGCACTCTGAAGATAAGGACTAACAGTTTTCAACTAAATTCCGAACACAACTAAATTATTCCGAATGGATTCATTTTAAATCGAGACTGTTAATATAACTCTAGGATTTATTGTTCTTCACTCATGAGGTTGTCACGCACCC